AAAGGGACATGATTCGATTTGGGTAATTGTGGACCATCTTACCAAGACCGCTCATTTCTTGCCTGTCAAAACAGAATATCGACCACCTCAATATGCCGAGAAGTATATCGCATAAATTGTGAGGTTGCATGGTATACCAAAGACCATGGTATCTGATAGAGGCTCACAGTTCACAGCTCACTTTTGGGAACATTTACACAAAGGCTTAGGAACTAGTTTGATTCGTAGTACCGCTTATCATCCTCAAACAGATGGTCAGACTGAACGAGTGAATGCTGTTTTGGAGGATATGTTAAGAGCCTCTGTATTGTCTTCTAAGGGATCATGGGAGTCATGGTTACCATTAGCTGAGTTTTCTTACAATAATAGTTATCAAGAAAGCATCAAGATGGCTCAATTCGAAGCTTTGTATGGCAGAAAATGTAGAACACCATTGAATTGGGTCGAGCCTGGAGATAGAAGGTATTATGGCATTGACTTTGTAGAAGAGGCCGAGAAGAAAGTCCATATTATTCAACAAAATATGAAGGCGACCCAATCGCATCAGAAAAGTTATGCAGACAGAAGAAGGAGACCTCTTGTGTTTGAAGTTGGCGACTATGTTTATCTGAAGGTCACGCCAATGAAGAAGAAAAGGTTTGAAGTCCGGAGAAAACTTGCCGCTAGATTCATAGGACCATATAAGATCTTGGAAAAGAGAGGTCCAATAGCTTACAAGTTAAAGTTACCTAAGACAATGAGTACCGTCTTCCCAGTTTTCCATGTATCACATCTCAAGAAATGTTTGCGTGTTCTGGAGGAAAGAATAGAACCTCGAGGCATTAAACTCAAATCAGATTTGGTATATCGTGAGCAACCGGTCCGTGTGTTAGACACCAAAGAACGTGCTACTCGAAATAGTGTGGTGAAAACATACAAGATACAGTGGAATCATCATGATGAGGGAGATGCAACTTGGGAAACGGGAGAATATCTACAAAAAGCTTATGAAGATTTTTATAACAAATGGTTCGTAACCCAAATCTCGGGACGAGATTTTTATAAGGGGGGAGGGCTGTAACACCCCGATGTTATGACCAACATTTAGGCACTGTAAATCAAACATATCATGTATCATCAAACATCCTAATCATACATGCCTAATCATGTAAATAATAACTGAAACCCTGCTTCAAAACATACGAAACATGCTCATGAAACATGAATGTTGCATACACTTGTTTAGAGTTGTTTTGCCATGATTATGCTTGCTAGGTTAGTAAAACATGTTTGGCTATAATTGTAAGTCATCTAGAATTATTTAGCATAATTTTTGGAGCAAAGTTTGTATTCAAACTTTTGACAAAATATGCTTTTGAAATTATTATTGGAAAGGGTCAAAAATCCTCTCTATTTAGCTTTTGCTTCCCAATTCAAAATCTATGCAAAATTTTTAGTTAGTCCCTAAAGCAAAGTTGTAGAGGACTAAATTCTAAGCAACTTTTATTTTTGGGCCATTTTCAAAAGATGTCATTTTCTTGCTCAAAATGATATTTGAAAACTGCTATTTGAAATTTCCTTGAAAATAGAAAATTGAAAAATGCTTTTCTCCTTTCGCGGGCCGCCGCCTCCTTTCTCGGCCCACAGCCGAAGTCGGCTCGGCCTGCCACCGCGCCCCGCATCCACGCCAGCCCACCTCGCCTCGGCCCACCCCACCCCAGCAGCGTCTGGCTGCCAGTATTGCTGCCACACACATCGACCCCGACCGGCCCAGAGCCTTGACTATCAGCGTGGCGACCATGCGACAGGCGACGCTTGCCCGCATGTGGCAGCCACGGCTCCTGCCTCCGCCTCCACGCCAGCCTCCTTCCGCCTTGCACACCGCCTCCTCCTCATTCCTCCTCCCGCTCTCTCAGACGCAGCGCCAGCAGCTCCCGCCAACACCACGAGCTCGCCACTGCCTCGCCGGTAGCATACCCCCTCCCACGTCTCCATTCCTCGATTCCCGCCGCCTGAAGCTCCACCTAGCATCCCTGCCTCGCTTGCGCTCGCTTGCGGCCGCCGTCGTCGAGGTAAGGACCAAGCTCGGCCGCCTCCTTCCTCTCCGGCGAGCGCGCTGCCGTGGCCAGGTGGTTCGTCACGCCGTCGGGACACCTCCACCATCCCAGCCGGTGCGGCTTGGCGTGGCATGCATGCTGGAACCACCCGCGCCATCGGAAGGACTCGCTGCCGGTGAGCACCGGCCGGCGGAGCCCCTCCCTTGCCCCCGGGTCGCTGACCCGTAGGGCCCAGCCGCAGTGGCTGGCGAAGGCCCCGGGTGGCTGGCCAGTGGGCCGGTTGACCCGCTGGGTCCCGCCTGGCAGCCCCTCTGGGTGCACAGCACCGGGTGCACCCAACGATTTCGTCAGCTGGAGTTTAAAAAGGATTTCAAAAATGAATTTTCAGATTCCTACTTAAATGCTTTGGAAAATGTTTGTGTACTCATTTTGGCTCCAAATTTGTTGAAACAAATTTTGCTAGGTTCCTTGTCACCAGATCTACATGATAAAATTATTATATGTCATTTTTGAGATACTTTTCTGTAGAGTTTTATTTAATCCTTGATATTGCTGATAACTTGAAAATGTGTAGAAAAACCTATAGGCTTCAGAAAAATATGATTCAAAGTTTGTTAATCTTTTTGTGTAATGTACTTCCAAAATATGTGTCATGCATGTACTGTAGAAAATTTATGAGGTGTAGTTCAAGTGCCTTTAATGGCTGATTTTTGTTATTTTTGCTAGAGAGCAAAATTTGTATAAAACATGCATGTGATAATTTTTGTGCAGTGATTATTTGCTGTGTAGAATATAGGAAAAATAATTCCTCTGTTGTTTGACACTCTTCACGGTACAAAGTATTTTCAGGTTCATAATCATGCCATAGCTTGTTATTTTTGTGTAGGCTAATCCACTCATTCAAATACCATGAAAATCTGATGGTAGACTACTTAGGGTAGTACTGTGATATGGTAATTTTCTAAGATTTTTCTAAGCAATAAAAATAGATGTTGCTATTCAAACCTATTATTAATTAGGGTTTAATCAAGTGTTGCTTATGTGTGATTAAGAAATTAGTGAAGCTTTGGTGTATCTTTGAAGCATTAATAAGATGTGTTGACTTAGCATATTAGTAGTAGAAGAGAATGCAGTAGATGACATGTGCTTGTAGTATATATTTTTGGATGATGTTGACTACCTTGCATTCAAGCATATCCATTGTATTCATCTCATCCGTTGCACCGATTGCATAAGCACTTACGCATATTGCATCATACAGGATCGCAAACCGGAAATCCAGTTGTAATACCTGAGGAGCCCGAGGAACAGGTCGAGGTGCAGCCGCAGGAAGTGCCCGAAGCCGACGAGGAGGACGTTGAGGAACTTCTGGAGTGCCCCGATCACCGCCCGAGCTCCTTCGAGAGAGGCAAGCCCCGGAGCATTTTCTCCCCGGTTTGCAATTGTTAATTAAATACTTTACTTTAATTGATGCATTACGTTCAGAAGTTGTTTGCAATCGTTGCTGCATTATACCTTGTCTACCTTTGTTATACTATATCCTTGTTACCCTAGTATCCGCAGTCGAGTCAATGCTTAGCTGGCTTAGACCGGTAGAAGTCGGTTGATTTCCTGTCACCTGCGAGCTATAGGTGGTTACCTGGATCTGTTTGGATGACTATGAAGTCATGGTATAGCTAAGTGTTAAAAGAAGTTGAGATCGAGCGGAGACTTACAGAGTTTTGGACTGTAGTGCTTTCCGTCTGTGTCGATTAAGGACCGACCGTTGTTGGGCCTCGAGTCATGTTGAACGCATGCCTTATATTTAGCTGGCCGGATAAAGTACCTTCCGACCGCAAAGCTGGGAGATTATTCGGGCCGAGTAGATTGCCCGCAGCGCACTGTGCCGGAGCAGGTGTGGTAGGACACGGGGGCGAGATGATAAGACCAAAGTACAGTCGGTCGGCCCCCGGGTACATGTGGTTCCTGGCAAATTCGAGACTCCTAGATAGTTGACTCGGTGATCAATACCTCACTTTAGCGGGTGAGTGAGGTTTGTGTAAGGAATAAATCATCAGCTGGTTAGGAATCGATTCGAATCGCCATCGCTCCTGGATAGTGAGCACTTGACTTGAGTTACTTCATCGTAGTAATGTTAATGGAACACTTGGACAGTTATAATGCATATGACAATATGGAAGTGGTTAATGATCATTGGTTATCATTATTGGCTTAATCACATGTTTGCTCTAGTGTAGGTGCAAATCTAGTCGACAGGTTATAAATAATTAACTTGACAATAATGCTTTTGAAAGGTTCTTGAAATGCTAAAAATGCCTCTTTTTGCAAATGAGTCAGCTACCCTACTATAAAGCCTTTCATAATCCTTGGTGTCATTTATTTTCGGTTATATCGGGTAAGTCTAGCTGAGTAACTTCTCGTACTCAGGGTTTTATTCCCACTTGTTGTAGATGGGCAGATGTATTACGGCTACTGTATCAACTGCCTTTATCCTGCGATGGGTGATGCTTAGGACCATGGACATGGTCATTCCGTACGTCTCGTCTAATGCTTTTGTTAGAGATGATCATCAGCTGGCACTGTATTTGAACTCCGTGTGAGTGTGTGTGGTTTTAAACAAATGGCTTCCGGTACTTTTATTCGAACTTATTTTGTAATAACTATGTTTAAACTCTGATGTATCTGAGATGCAAACTTTTATGTAATATGTGATGGTGACCGCTAAACTTATTACGATCTTGGCTGGAATGGAAGTTGGTTTGAAATCCTTCATGATTTCACGGACTACCGGGTTATACGGGCTTAAGTTTGCTAAATCGTCTGCTCTGACGAATGATTTTCTTACTTAATTTCGTATAATTGGTCGGTTCTGTTACAACGGGCGCGAGCTCCGCCGGCCGCGGGCGCGAGCTCCGCCGAGCGGGGCTCTACCGGCTGCAAGCGCGAGCGTGAGCGGAGGAGGATATGCCGGACGAGGAGGAGCAGGCGCTGGCGGGGGCGCCGTGCGGGGCGTGCAGGACGCTGTGGCGTAGGTGCGTGTCGGGCTGCGTCTTCGCGCCCTACTTCACGGCGGACGACTTCGCAGCCGTGCACGGCGTCTTCGACGCCAGCAACGTGTCCAAGATGCTGGAGCGCATCGAGCTTCCCGAGCAGCGGTGGGTGGCCGCGGTGACGCTCGTCGAGGAGGCCAAGGCGCGGCAGCGGGACCCCACCTTCGGCCGCGTCTCCTACATCCGCATCCTCCAGGAGGTGAACGACAAGGCCAGGGAGCTGGTGGACGCGGCGCGGGAGGAGATCGCCACGGAGTTCGGCGCCCTGGCCGCGGCCGAGCCCCTTCCCATTCTCGGCGCACGAGCGCGAGCGTGAGCTCTGCCGAGCGCGGGTGCGAGCTCCGCCGGCCTCGGACGCGAGGGCGAGCGGTGTGGACTAAAGAAGCAAGAGGATATGATGAGAGAAGGGTATTTTGGATCTTTATACTGACCGGGTTCACATGTAACGGTGAAAAACGAACAGAACACCGACGGAATGACTTAGAGAGTAAAGAAGTTCAGAACGATGGCACTCGTATGTGGTTAATTTTTTTAATGACTTATACGTTATTACAAACTTTTTTAATGACATACGTGTAAAAGTCTCCATTTGCTTTGCTTGCTCTTGAGTCTTGCCCTGCTGGCTGCTTGCCCATAGCTCCTACTACCTCCAAACGATCTCCACTTCCACCCCCATCCATCCCACCACCGGGACGCATCAAGCAGCCGGCGATGGGGTCCGCCTCAGCCTGCGTCGCCACCGCCACCGCGCACCTCGTCGTCGCCGCCGCCCTCCTCCTCATGCTCGCGCGAGGCGGCGAACCCGTCAGTCTCTGGCTCCCGCCGCCGACCGCCGGAGGAGGGGGCTTCCTCGGCGGCGCGGACCGTTACCTGACTCGGGAGGAGCACTGGATGACCCAAACCCTCGATCACTTCAACCCGACGGTATCTACTGCAAATCGACGTGTTCTCTCCGAATTTATGTTGACTTGAGGGTCGTTCTGCCGTTCGTTGGAACTGCTGGGAAACTTGGGATCATATAGCTTGGGTCCCCTGTCTGGGACTCTAGGCCGGTAGCAGAGCACGTACAAGCTCTGGTACGAGAACATTCCAAATTAATGAACCTTCAGAGATTTGCTGCTGGCACATCACGGTGTACAGCTTTGAATTACTCTATTTATTTTCTCTGTAAGTAGAAGATGCCAAAATCTTCCTAGTTTTTGTGATTCATGCTTGGATGACTTCGATGAGACCATTTTGCTTGCTCACATGCACGTCATGTCACCTAGAACTACAATGAAGAGAAACCAATGGCTCTTCCTGTATGCGATGTCTAGCAGCGCAATGTAGTACAATTAACAAGCGTTGGATCAGATCATCAGATACCCAGTATTATTATTATTATCTACTTATTTCTTTTCTAAAGCATGACGTGGGGTCTCTATCTGTGAAATTTGTGGGTGAGGTGAACTTGCTACACAGATTGACTTTTTAACCCCAGCTTTCTTACCTATTTTGAAGGGCGGGCCTGGTGCAAGCGGTAGAGTCTTACCGCCTGTGACCGGAAGGTCCCGGGTTCGAGTCACGGTCTCCTCGCATTGCACAGGCGAGGGTAAGGCTTGCCACTGACACCCTTCCCCAGACCCCGCATAGAGCGGGAGCTCTCTGCACTGGGTACGCCCTTTTTTTTCTTACCTATTTTGTATATTTTTATCCAATTGAAACTTTACTTACTGTGAGTTTCTAGTCTGCTGTAAAGCATGAGGTTGTTTTGTAATGCACTGCCTCTTAGCTGATTCAATTTCAAGTTGCAATGTTGTGAAGCTTTGATTGTAACCTGCTATTGTTATCTCAGTGGTATTATACTCCAGAAGAAGACACAGACGTAATTCATTGTATCCATGGTATGGACGAGGAATTTATATGCTTTTTTTTTATATGCAGGACCATCGGCAATTCAAACAGCGTTACTATGAATTTCTCGACTACTACCGAGCTCCAAATGGCCCGATCTTCCTCTACATCTGTGGAGAAGCCTCGTGCAATGGGATTGGCAATAACTACTTAGCTGTGAGTTTAATGAGTATACAGACATGCAGCCGCAAATTTTTTAGTTAAATGATTGGACATCCTATACTGCTTACTCTAGACATGATTCGTAATTTAGTAATTTACTCATTCATTTGTATGCAACAACTCTCTGCTTACTCTAGACATGATTCGAAATTTAGTAATTTACTCATTTGTTTGTATGCAACCACTCCAGCTGTTAGATAACATATACATGTTGATGGATTATGTTATTAGGTGATGGCGAAGAAATTTGGTGCTGCATTGGTTTCTCCTGAGCATCGATACTATGGAAAGAGTTCTCCTTTTAACAGTTTGACAACAGAAAATCTACAGTTCTTGTCATCAAAGCAGGCTTTATTTGATCTTGCTGTTTTCCGCCAATATTATCAGGTGTGCCATGTGCATATGTGATTATATTATTTGTCAGTGTCCAAATGTGTAGACCCTTGTTCTGAGCTTGATTTCTGTCATTTGTAGGAAACCTTAAATGCTAAGTATAATCGCTCTGGGGCAGACAGTTCTTGGTTTGTTTTTGGAGGGTCATATGCTGGAGCACTCAGTGCTTGGTTCAGGTTGAAGTTTCCTCACTTGACATGTGGAAGCCTTGCAAGTTCAGGAGTCGTTCTTGCTGTATACAACTTTACTGATTTTGACAAACAGGTTGGTGCAGGAGCAGAGATCTTGATTTATACATTAAACATTAAAACACTTCAGTCTGTACCTGAACTCCTGAAGTTCTACTTCTGTGTATGATTTACGTCTCTGTAGATTGGGATCTCTGCTGGTCCTGAATGCAAGGCAGCACTTCAAGAAATAACAAGACTTGTTGATGGACAACTTCAGTCTGGCCGCAACTCAGTTAAGGAGCTGTTTGGAGCACCAAAGGTATCCATTTGTGATATGAAGTGTATTTTTTTAGTCAATACAGCTTTGCAATCATATTTAGTTTGCAACTACATTTTTTTACTTTCATGTTGAATGATCTTACATATTGTGTTGATGGTTTTGGTATGCATGAAGAGGGCAATGCTAATTTGAAGAGAAATATAGTTGTGGTGCTTAAAAGAGAGTGCATTTACAATATAGATAGCAATACCTCCATCTCTTTTCTTCTTTATACATCATATCATATATGGGGTTAGAGTCTGAGCATTTCCACGCTACTGTTATTGACTACCAGTGAGCAGCCTGTAGAAGAATTGTATGTTCATGCAAGCCAGACATCTCCTTTTCTGATGTGTCCAACTTATCGATCCTACCAATGCTTCTCTTTGTCCTAAGCTTTTCTTAGCTATTTCTCATATATGGATCTGGAAAACATGCTTAAACTTATAGGTTTGCACCAATGACTGCTCTTAGGTTCATGCTTTTATTTTGTATACTTGCAGTTAGAAAATGATGGTGACTTCCTCTACTTACTGGCGGATGCTGCTGCTATTGCGGTATGATCCATCTACTTCTATATTTGACCTCATTGTTTGTTGAAAGCAAGTGACCATTGAGAGCCTATACCATTTGCAGTTCCAATATGGTAATCCTGATGTCTTGTGCTCCCCACTAGCTGAAGCAAAGAAGAATGGGACAGACTTGGTGGTAAGTAGTGTGTTATTTGAAAGCAGGATTAAAAGGGAAACATTTTCCAAGAATCATGTGATGACTAAGTTGCTAAAATTTCTGTTTTCTAAAGATTTTTATTGTAAGTAAGCACATGATAATACCCTGTGGACCTTGATTTTTATTTCAGTTGTGCTACCTAAATTTCTAGTAAATCTAGCATGCTCTAACAACTGTTATTATGCAGGAAACGTTTGCTAGTTACGTGAAAGATTATTACATTGGAAAATTTGGGGCATCAGTGGCATCATATGACCAACAATATTTGAAGAACACGACTCCTGCTGAATCCTGTAAATGCCAACCCCGACATTCAATTTTACCCAATATCATGATTTAAGAGTTAGAATGAAACTATGTGCATGGCTATTGTTAATGTTATCTGAACATTGTTTCTATTTTATTGACCATGCATTTGACTATTGATTCTATTTAGCATATAGGCTATGGTGGTACCAAGTTTGCAGTGAGGTTGCATATTTCCAGGTGGCACCAAAAAATGATAGTGTTCGCTCCCCAAAGATTGACACAAGGTTAGTAGGGATACTATGCTCAGTCACACCTTTTGTCTCTACCAAGTATCCTTTGCTTATCCTTTTTCTTATTTTTACTACAAAGCTGCACTAGCCACTATCAAATCTTAAGATGAGCACTTCCACCATCGACATATGAAAGTTGTCTCTGTTTTTTTTTTTTAAAAAAAGAAAAGTTATCTCAGTCTATCAACCAGGATCTTCTGTAATTTTAATGTGATTGCATTTCTAAACCTTGTATTCATTTGCATCGTTGTGTTTGCAATTGTTTCTAGGTACCATTTGGACTTGTGCAAAAATGTTTTTGGCGAAGGAGTCTACCCTGATGTCTTCATGACAAACTTATACTACGGAGGCACAGGAATTGCAGGTATGGCCTTTGAATCCTCTGAATTATTCGCTTCAGTCCTTGAGTTATCTTAACTTTATGTCATTTTGCTTTCCTTTACCTTGAAAATTTGAGTCATCTCTTCCTTTGGAAAAATTTAAAATAATGAGGATTTACCATGATTTATTTTTGAGGTTTCAACTACTAATTATTACGAGATAGTACTATCAGTGTGTCAGTAACATATCAATTTTGTGAGGTCTGGGTGCTCCAGATGCACAACAGGCAGATATGTGAGGTCAGGATCAATGAACACTGGTAGAGGCACAACAAAAGAGTTGAGTGGCTTCATATCTGCAGTGCTAATGGCCATGTTTTTTTTTGCCACGCTAGAAACTTTGCGTTGTATGATCTTTAAATCGATATTGTGGATATCCAATTGTGTGCAATGGTGTGTGCAGTTGTGCACAATACCTCAGATTACAGTGCGACTTCCATAGTAGTGTACCTCCTGGTAAAAAAATTCAAGTATTTGAAATTTATAAATCACATGCCTGCAGGTTCTAAAATTGTTTTTGCAAATGGATCTCAAGACCCATGGCGACATGCTTCTAAGCAGAAATCGTCAGACGAATGTGAGCATTTTTAGTCCTACATGTCACTTACGTCACCATTTCCCCGTTTCATACATATACACATACACTGTAATACTATATTTTTATCCGGTATAAAAGCGGTAAACATTTCTTTTTCTGATGCTACTATATGCTTATGAAAGTTCTGCTATGCCTGCAGTGCCATCATACTTAATTGAGTGCAAGAACTGCGGACATTGCAGTGATCTCTCTGGATGCCCTCAGGCTCCTTCAAACATTGAAGGTAGATCCATCATTCAAACTTTTGCTGAAACTATGCTTGACATGATAGCGCAGGGGACCTTTGAATTTGCTAATTATAAATTCTTCTTTCAATCTGTCATTGCGTCATCAAGGATTAAGTTAACTTTAGTCCCCTAGATTGTATAATACGTAAGTGACCCCAATTTCGAGTTGTTTGTATTCTGCCCTCCAGGCGATTCATCCAAGTGCTCACCTCCTGAATCTCTGAACAAAGTAAGGAAGCAGATTGTCGATCACATGGACCTGTGGTTATCAGAATGCCAAGAGCAAGGTTAGTTTGGTTTATGTGTCTGCTCTGCCACTGAATAAAGTGGTTTTCAATTATCCTTGATATTTTCTATCTAATGCCTCTGTAACATTGGCTCTGATCTTTTGCACTATCTAAGAGCTGTGATGACTGCCAGCTACGCCACCTCCAATTCAATCCAGTTTTGAACTAACATGTTGCTATTTCAGGACATGACAAGGATCCATCACTGGGAAGCAGATGGAGCATAGCTACTATTTGATCAATCTGTGGAAGCTATAAGCATGTGCTGCTAGACCTAGGAAAATCTGTTATCTTTTCTTGCAGTACCGTGGTATATCGTTTCCGCAAACCATACGGGCTGCTGAGTAATCCACCGGTGGCAAATAAATAAAAGAGGCAGTTCTCACTGGGGGCCTGTTCATTTGGTTGGTCTTGGTCTTTGATTTGAAATTTGGTGGTGGTCTTGGTTTTTTGTGAGAGTAAAACAACTTTGTTACCACTTTGGTTTGGTTTGGCTGAAACCAAAACAAATGAAACAGAGCTCTCAGCATCTTGGGATGCTTGCTTGCGGTGCTCAGACGTGAGAAATGTCCACCGTTCTGGACCCGGATGCGTTGATCTACAGACGATGCCATGATTTGAAAATGTTTTGACGATCTGCACACTGACAAATTCGTTAATATACTTGTATACATCTGGCGCATACCCTTCAGCATGAGAAATGATCGGGATGTTTCCCCTTGGTCGTAATTTTGTTAATAAATTCTAGCATGTGAGGTGCTGTACTGACTGGCACATCGTATTCAACTGACACGATCATATGGTTCCTTGCCGCATCATTTCGTGACATAAAATTTCCATAGAGAAAAGGAGAACGTGTCCGTTCCGACGCGTCACAGAATGAACAAAGGTCCTGCAGTGAGCAGGTGCAGTACATAATCATGGACGACGTCACGACGAAAGCTGACAGTTTTGGTGACCATCCTGCTAGGCCCTTGTTTAGCTGAGGGGAAAGTTAAAATTTAGCTACTGTAGCACTTTCGTTTTTATTTGGTAATTAGTATTCAATCATGGACTAATTAGGCTCAAAACGTTCGTCTCGTAATTTCTCACTAAACTGTGTAATTAGTTTTTTTTTCATCTACATTTAATGCTCTATGTATGTATCGCAAGATTCGATGTGATAGATATTGTAGCACTTTTTAAACCTTTTTTTTGCAACTGAACACGGGCTAGCTCACACAGTTCAAGGCAACGTGCAATCTGCGCCATCGGCAGGCCGCTGTCGGACGGAGTGGCGGTCCCGTCAGGCCGTCACGCAGCACAAAAGCCCAGCCCAAGGCAAGAGTCACATAACAACAGCCACTGGTGTGGGCTAGCTCACACAGTTCAAGGCAACGTGCAATCTGCGCCATCGGCAGGCCGCTGTCGGACGGAGTGGCGGTCCCGTCAGGCCGTCACGCAGCACAAAAGCCCAGCCCAAGGCAAGAGTCACATAACAACAGCCACTGGTGTGGAACGCAACGGGAGAGAATTTTCAGCCGGAGAGGCGGAGACCGATGATGGGGTCTCGCGCTCGCATCGTCTCCCTCCTCCTCGCCTTCCTCTTCGCGCGCGCAGCCGAGCGGATCGCCGCCGCCGCACCCGCCGGCAGCAGGCACCTTACGAAGGACGAGCGGTGGATGAACCAGCGCCTCGACCACTTCTCCCCCACTGTGAGTCAACTCCCTCTCCGGCTCCCTGTCGCGCACGGCGCACCCGTACTGGGGGAGGATTCTTGTTTGAGGAGCTGAGCGCCTTCGCTCACGCCGGCCACGGCTTTTCAGGACCACCGGCAATTCAAGCAGCGCTACTTCGAGTTCCTCGATTACCACCGCGCCCCCGGCGGGCCGGTCTTCCTGCGCATCTGCGGCGAGTCCGCCTGCGACGGCATCCCCAACGATTACCTGGCCGTGAGTTGCAACTCGCATCGCACTCTCACACTGTCAAACACAGCACGTACAAACATGACACCTGCACAACTGCTTCCCCGTACTCCGCTCCGTCTCGTGCTGATGAACCGCCTGGTCTGTTCCCTGTGTGCTCAGGTGCTCGCCAAGAAGTTCGGCGCCGCGGTGGTGACGCCGGAACACCGGTACTACGGGAAGAGCTCTCCCTTCAAGCAGCTGACCACCGAGAACCTGAGGTTCCTGTCGTCGAAGCAGGCCCTGTTCGACTTGGCCGTCTTCCGGCAGTACTATCAGGTTGCATTGACATTTTGTTGCCTGATTCAGCACCTAATTTTCTCAATTACGTGAGCCTTTTTTTCTTCTTCTGTTTTTCCTTTTTTTTTCCTTCAGGAATCTTTGAATGCCCGGTACAACCGATCAGGTTTTGATAATCCCTGGTTCGTCATCGGGATCTCCTACTCCGGCGCTCTCAGCGCCTGGTTCAGGCTCAAGTTCCCCCATTTGACTTGTGGGAGCCTCGCTAGCTCAGGGGTGGTTCTTGCAGTGTACAACTACACCGACTTTGACAAGCAGGTTGATAGTACGGGCATAGGTGGAGATGGCAAATATTAATTCTGTCTGCTTTATTATTTATGTACTTCTACCCAATTCAGGTCTCCTTTATTATGTAGGTTGGAGAGTCAGCTGGCCCTGAGTGCAAAGCTGTCCTTCAGGAAATAACTAAACTTGTTGATGAACAGCTCCGGTTGGACAGTCACTCTGTGAAGGCTCTATTTGGAGCACAGACGGTAAATATTATTGTATATAACAAGTTGATGATGATGCCAATTTCACATACTTCAACTCTCTGATGATACATTTTACTGTGCGTGCAGTTGAAAAATGATGGTGACTTCCTCTTCTTCCTGGCAGATGCCGCAGCTATAACGGTATGCATAATATTTTTCTATGTTGCTTCTGTTGAAAAGTATCTTTTGTGGGTGTTTGAGAGCCCATGCTATTTTGCAGTTCCAATATGGGAATCCAGATGCCTTGTGCCCTCAGCTAATAAAGGCAAAGAAGAACAGGAAAAACTTGGTGGTACATGTCCCTTCTTCTATAATTGTACTTGATATCTTCTGTAATATCTTGCTGGAGCGAGGAAAGAAATAACTATGTATATTAATCTTTTATATACAAATTGCCTTACTAGTTCAATGCCCGCAATTGTGCCACAAAAAAATAAGAGGAATAGGCAAAGTACTTTAATCTATGAAGATGGAAAACAGTTATACTATTCAGTGAAAATTCTGCAGGCAACATATCGATGGATGACCAAACACATTCTATATTTGTTTTCCTATTATTTCTTCCCCCTTTAGAGCTTCCTTTTTTATCCTCCATTTATTGGTTTTGCAGGAAGCATATGCTCAGTTTGTGAAAGATTTTTACATTAAAAAAATGGAGACACCACCATCTTCGTATGATCGAGAATATTTGAAGCAAACAACTCCAGATGATTCTGGTAAATGATGTTCTACTTGTTTTCTTTAACAAAAAATAGAAAATGTGTTTGCATCTATGAGCGAGTGAACACCATGACAACTCTTGTTTGGTATTCAAATCTACATACCTGCAGGTACTTATTCACGTTACAATTTCTTTTAGGTTCTAGGCTCTGGTGGTTCCAAGTTTGCAGTGAGGTTGCCTACTTTCAAGTGGCACCCAAAAATGATAGCGTTCGTTCTGCAAGGATCAATACGAAGTAATATTTCCTATCCTTCTTCCGTGCGTTTTGACTTTTGACATATCTATCAAGTTTTACATGTTCTTATATTCCAAACTGTGTTACAATATCTTTACGGTTTGACATGTCTGAGTCATAGTATATTGGGTTGGAGTAGCACGAGCATACTGACTACTATGTACTTTTCTTTAGTCATCTCACTGCACTATACTATATAGACCTTACACGTTTTGAACTTCCAGGTACCATTTGGACCTATGCAGAAATGTTTTTGGGGAAGGCGTTTATCCTGATGTGTTCATGACGAACTTGTATTATGGAGGCACAGGAATTGCTGGTTCGTCTCTCTAGCTAGCTTTGATTGTCTGTTGTGTGACATAAAGTGACCACGAGAAGCTCTTTCGACTTTCCAATCTACTTGTCTTTTCTCTGACGATTCGTCAAATATGTACAGCTTCTAAAATTGTGTTTACAAATGGCTCCCAAGATCCATGGCGTCATGCCTCCAAGCAGAAATCATCGAAAGACAGTGAGTCTTCCAAAACTCTTTATGGTGTTCATTGTTCCATAACCATTAGTCAGACAAATCTGAACGGTGTAAGTACTTTTTCTTAGATAGCTGGTTTTGTGTACTGATAGATGTTCCACAACACATGCAGTGCCATCGTACCTAATGAAATGCAGAAATTGCGGACATGGAACTGATTTGAGGGGCTGTCCGCAATGGCCTTTCAGGACTGAAGGTAATTTGGGGGAAAAAACGTTCCATAAAGCTTTGCTATGATTGCTATACAATACTGACCTCGATCACCAGGATAATACAATAATCTACTTTCTTTATGTCTACTAGTAATAAGGTGTATTAGTGTTGGCAGAGTAGTTTACATGAATTTTATACTTAAACTCTTGATTTATCACCCTGTTTAGATGAGAATGCTCACTGGTTATGCACTGATCAGGGGACTCTTCAAACTGCTCATCTCCCGCAGCAGTCAATACAGTAAGACAGAGGATCGCCAAGCACATTGACCTGTGGCTGTCGCAATGCAATAAACCATCAGTAGGGTATGGATCCCTGCCTCTCTGGCTATATTCTGGTGGGGGCGCAGTCCATCTAAACTCAAACTTAGCAACTTGTGAATTCTGATCCTGTGCTGCTCTTTTCTATTGATGCAGGGCCTGGTAACCGCAGATTAGTCGTTGTTCCACTGGGAAAGATTGTAAAGAGATTTGGATGTCCTGGAGTAAGCTTGTGTCGGGAAATACTCCGTACATAACTACCTCGGACTACGGCTATGTGCATTTTCAAAAGCAGATGTTTTCTAGGTGGTGGAATAAAACAATAACGCAGCTAGGCAGCTTCGCTATCATGCATATGGCCGATTTTGGAATTCATATGACAGGACACATAGGATCTACTAGTTCGTAGTTCGGACAAGCTGGGTAGATCAGGGAATCAGCCACATAAATTGCAAAGGTCCGTTATGTGCTAAGCGACATGCCGACATGGTTAACATGTAAAGAGCACCTGGTGCCTGCCTACATCTTGCTCACTGTTTTAATATGAGACATGATGGTTGTATCCCATTGCATTTGTATATTCCATGAGGTGGTAAGTGAGCTGATTGGTACGGTTCACCTGCCGTTACGCTTGTTTGATAGCGCACTATTCCTTGCCGTATGCTATTCTTGACGCCGTAGACCCGTAGCTCACATTTCCACAAGAAAAATGAGCATGTAATCCTTATGTTTCCCTGTCGTACGCTGTGTATCATTGTATTGATAAGATTCAATGTGAACAGGAATGAACAGATCCTGGTCTAGAAGAATGAAATGGAGTTGGATGCCGTGTGCATTTTAATACGTAGCATGGACGGCGAGACATTTCGCTTTTATTTACTTTTGATGATATTATAGAACCCATATTTCCCTAGGCAGCCAAAAAATTGAAATTGATTGATCTTTACTAGTCCATTAATCAGTGCTCTCACACATGCTAGAATCTTATGGGACATTATATGTTAATTTTGATATGTCACCTAATAAAAATTACTTATATTAGTTTGTACGGTTTTTTATTTGTTTATTTTTAACATAATAGACACATAGTTACTTGTATATCTAGTTGTGATAAACTTATCACTTACTTATTTATATGTTTTTTCATCCATCCATATTTTTCTTTTCCCTTGCATAACACCTTCGAGAATCTTAGTATACATTTAGTTAAAACCTTAGTTTAAATTATGATAACCCATGTGCTATGAATATTAGTACATTTTTTTTTTAAAAAACTGCATACCATACTTTACAGATATTGAATTAATCGTAATATAGATCATATTAGAATGTACAGGTAGATTTGAGTGATACTTTTGTTTATTTCTTACACTTGCCGAGGTGAAAATCTAGATACAAATTAAAACAATATTATTATATCATCTTTCATAACGGCATATGTGGGCAATTTGAATGTAAACATAGGGGCTGCTTTGCATTATTTTTCATAATGGTAGAGATGGACATGTATAAAAGATATTATGAGGCTATTTAAAATTCTCTTTCATACTGGTAGAGACGGTTAATTTAGATACAAAATTATGGGTTATTTTAAATTATTTTTAAAATGACATATATGAGTAATTTAGATGCAAATTCAGGGATTATTTTAAATTATTGTTCATAATGACAAAGGTGGTTAATTTATATACAAATTTTTGGGCTTATTCTAAATTTTCTTTTATAAAGAAAGATGTGCTTAATTTAGGTACAAAACTAAGGGGTTATTTTAAATTGTCTTTTATAATGGTGTAGGTGGGTAATTTAGATGCAAATTCTTAGGGTTATAAATTATCTTTCATAAAATGATAGAGGTGGGTAATTAAAAGCCTTAGTTTGATTTTGGATAATTGATGAAACCTAGGACTAACTTTTGATTTAAGTGTGTGAATTAGAAAAGGTGGTTCAATCCAAGTGATTGAGCAAGATGAGGTCCATGGTGATAAAGGTGGACATAAAATGAAGATGATCAAGCTCAACTTGAAAAAGAAGAAAGAGAAAAATAAAAACCGAGAAAATTAAGGCAAAGGTATAAGATAGGTTTTTGTTTTGCACTCAAGACACCATAGAGGGTGTGAGTGACTTATGATCGATAGTCGTACTATAAGAAGGGAAAATCTTTGGCTAAACGGTTTATCGAGTGTCACTAGGTGATAAGATTCATGCATTGCATTTTGAAACCTAGTGTGCTAACCTTGACCCATGTAAAATGCTTTAAAAAATGCTAACACACGTGCACACAAGTTCTACACTTTATGGTTAGCAAGTTGAAAGCAAGGGCGAAGTGGCTGTGGACTTAGAAAAAAGAAAAGGAGGAGAAAGTCCACGACAGGACGCTGACTGCGGGGTGACCGGACTCACCCCGGCGTGTCCGGTCATTATAGCGAGGAGGCGCAGCTGGCCGAGAGGGCCGAGGAGCGACCGGACGCTGCCACCGGTGCGTCCGGTCGTTTGTTGGATGCTGGCGATTGGCGGCGATCGGACACGACACTGGTGCGTCAGGTGGGATATGAAGTACGGTGACGTCAGCATCGAGAGCGCAGGCAGAGGAGCAGTGCTAGGACCGGACGCTGGGGCACGTCAGGTCAATGTTGATCTGACGCATCTTGTCAACTAAAAGTGGCTCGGAAACCTCTCTAGAAATGATCTGACATTGTGTGGTTCTAGGTCCGGTCGTTTGAGTAGCGAGTCTGATCTTCACTTAACTAATCACGCGCTCGGGAGTTAGCCATTGGAGATGAACGGTGCTCGTTTAAACGGAGGACATGTGGCGGTAATCCAGCAACCGGACGCTGAGGTTACTGCGTCCGGTCACTTCCATCTGCACATCCGGTCAGTACGTAGGGCACCCCTCTCTAACTCTAACGGCTCTATTATTTTGGGGACGTCTATAAATAGTGTTTGGCCGGCTCCAAAGCAACTCTTTTGGCACTTTGACATACTTGACATCCTTGTGATCCTAAGCAAGCCACCTATCCAACAATTCTAGCTTGCTTTATATTTTAAGTTCTTCTAGTGGAGCTCTTTAGTGTAGCAAGTGTGAGTAGCGACTTAGCAAATTGTGTGTTTAGTGATCATAGCAACTAGAATTGTTGGATAGGTGGCTTGCAACCTTTATAGAGCTAGAGTAAGTTTGCATTTTGCTATTTATCATACTAATCAAATTGCTCTAGTGATTTTATATTAGGACCTATTAGGACCTTTTAAGTGGTATCGGAGCCGTGATCACCATTTGATTCAAGGCTTAACAACCTTTGGTGCAAAATATGGCTCAAATAGTGTTCAACCATGTTGGGGGCAAGCCATCGTTCTTTGATGGCACATCTTTTGATTATTGGAAGAGAAAGATGAAGATGTACCTTGGTTCAATCAATGACAAGGTCTAGAATGTGGTAGAGAATGAGTTTGTGATTCTTGAACCTACCAATCTCATCGACAATGACAAGATCAACAAACAATGCAATACTATGGCACTCAACACAATATACAATGGCATTGATTCAAAAATGTTTGAGCAAATCAAAGATCTTGAGAAGGCAAGTGAAGTTTGGGTGAGACTCGAAGAAACATATGAGGGCCCTTCAACGGTAAAAAGTGCCAAGCTCTACATGCTCAAAGACAAGCTATCAAACTTCAAGATGAAGGATGATGAGTCCATTCTGGAGATGTTCTATAGTGAAAGCTCTAGTTTGGTTTTGGTTAATTGATGAAACCCTAAGTGCTAACCTAGTTTATCAAGATGATTATGAGATAGGTAGCACTACTCCAAGTGATGAAGCAATGACGAAGATCATGACAATGGTGATAGCATGGTGATGATCAAATGCTTGAACTTGGAAAAGAAGAAAGAGAAAAACAAAAGGCTCAAGGTAAAATGTAGGAGCCATTTTGTTTTAGTGATCAAGACACTTAGTGAGTGTGATCACATTTAGGATAGATAGCAAGTATGATTAAGAGGAGTGTAACTCGTGATCGAAATGCGGTTATCAAAGTGCCACTAAATGCTCTAACTCATTGCATATGCATTTAGGATCTAGTGGAGTGCTAACACCCTTGAAAATATTTGTGAAAATATGCTAACACATGTGCACAAGGTGTTTGTAGGTTTGAGATGGGTTTGGGTCCTCTCTCCCAATGATAAGCGATGAGGCGGGATTCAGTACAAGAAGGAAAATGAAATGTCTATTTTCTATTGCGGGTGGATGCAAAATCACTTGGTGGTTGGCACACTTGAGCAAGGGTGAAGAAGTTAGAGTTGAAATGGAGTTGGTCGAAATGATCTTTGGCGTCGGTCTCAACAAGCCTTCCATCTTTGACACTCCATCGACATGCCTCATGGCAAAGACTACCAAGAAAAATATGATGTCCGGTCGATGATGATGAATGTGAAAGTGATGCTTGTAGGGTTGATGATGATGATGATGAGAAGGTCTCACGTACATCAAGGTGGACATGGACACGTCCGAGCAAAAACATGCCTTGCTTTGAGCTTAAGAGAGAAAGCGACCAAACAATTGCATAAGGGCTTAAATCCGGTCAATTTTGATCGAGCGTCCGGTCCACCATGAGAGTTAATGGAAGCCCATGAGCGCTTGAAGCCGCAACGCTGGCGTCCATCGGGCGACCGGACGGCTCAGGGCCAGCTGTCTCTCGGTATGACCAAGAGCGTCCGGTCGAGTGTGTTTGCCTAGTGAAAGGGGACAAACTTCTATTTGATGGGAGCTCTATTTATAGCCCATGGCCGGCTCCCAGAAATACTCTTGCACATCTTCATTGACATAGCAACCTTGTGAGCTTAGCCAAAGCCCTCCCACTCATCTACATCATTGATCCATCATCATTGTTTGATTGGGAGAGAATCCAAGTGCATTGCTTGAGTGATTGCATCTAGTGGCACTTGGTATTCGTGTTCTTGTGCTTGGATTTCGCTTTTCTTTCTCTTGGTGGTTGCCACCACCCCAAGAAAGGTTGGAGCAGCTGTGAAGGATCGGCTACGAGTTGGTGATTGTTTGTGGCCGCCTTTGGAGATTGCGAGGGAGTTGTACCTTCCCAGTAGAGCAATATTGCAAAGGTAACTCTAGTAAATTGCTCGTGTCATTGAGTTACCTCACTTGTGGGTCGGTTTGTTAAGGTGTCCAATCGTGTGGACAAGGTTTGTGAAACACCTCTTAGCCGACCCAACCACCAAGTGTTGGTCGACACAAAGACCTTGGTGACG